GTATATAAATTCTTAATTAGCAATTTATTTATTTATAATGTTGGAATATTCTATATTTGCATGAAATATCCATTTAATAGATTTCTGTTACGAAATCTCATAACAGTACATGAAAATAGGAAAATCATATTCAACTACTGTACGAAATAAATAAATTTTAGCGTATTTTAGTGCAATTGATCCTGAAAATTATGTTCACACGTTGTGTGGCGTTATGTTTGTCCGTTGACGCGAAACTCGTTTCTTACCGAACAATTTGTTACAGAGCGCTGTTCGATATCGACGTTTATAAGATCAAAAATAGAACCGTGATGAGATTTTCTGGAGAACTATCAGGCGCATTAATGGGCGACGGCCTGTGCTTTTAAACGATGTTAACCCGACATCCTTTCTCGCCATTAGGAATACCAATCGAGGCGTTCTTCGATCGAATTTCTCGAGGCGTTCGTTTAAATTCTAATATCTCGGCACAAAATGCCGAATGGAGGCGGAGAGTCTGAAATAAAAGAAAGGGAGGAAGAGAGAGAGAGAGAGAGAGAGAGAGAGAGAGAGAGAGAGAGTAGAGAGGGCGGAAAGGAGAAAGAGGTGTTTCGTATGAGGGCGCTTGAAAGGATGAAAAAGCGAGGAGTTGCGAAAGATCGAGATCCAGACATTGAGAGGTATTTGTTAATCGATTTGCAGGAATTCTCAATATAAGGGAGAATAATGAAAGATTCTTATGGCGTTCGATCGCTTTCTTGTTCTCTCTCTCTCTCTCTCTCTCTCTCTCTCGTTCGTTCGCTCGCTCTCTTTCTCTTTGCTATAAAATGACGCGCAACTTCAAATTATTATCTCTGTCATTTGTCTTTTCTTATTAGAAAACTGAAGTATCTATCGATTATGATGAATGCAGTAAAACTTCTTTATAGTCCACCTCTTTATAGTCGCGACCTCCCAATAGTCCACAGTCGACCTCCGTATAAGCACACGTTTGTAATCCACGTGACGCGTCTCCAGGAAAACTGCTTGCGCAGTAAACAATATGCAGTTGTCTACTTAGACGCACTCAGGTTCCTATTTTTAGTGCTCAATTGTAACCTTTGGGAACAACCTACCACTTATATACTGTAGAATTTTCAAAGATTTGAAACTTTTTTTGCTTAAATGATACTTTAGGGCCTTAGAAATAAGATACAAAATGTTTCATAGATAGGAAAAGTTTGTAACAGCTCATTAAGAGGATTACACCGAGGCGTCTCCCAGCGCGCGTAAAGTGTCTTGACCGTTTTTGACGCGTCAAACCCTATTATGCTTGTACCTTTAGGGATAATAAAGGGATTGAAGAAAGAAAGAAAAAGAGGAGAACATAAATTCAGAAGGGGGCAATATATGGTCCAAACATCGCAGACTGAAGATAAATACAAAATTCTTACATTTAAACACTACATGAAACTTTAAACGCATTTTTCTCGAAACTATGTTTTTCAAATCGGACAAAAGGATAACTCGATGAAATCTTTACCGATTCTCTTGAAATTTTAACTGCAGCTTGCTGCGTTAAAGGGATAGGTCTGATTGGCTCTTAATCACGTAATCACGACGCCTCTTTTCACATTGTATTCACAGTTCACACGCCGCGTTCCATTTCACGTATTATGCGAATGATGTATCATTTTATCTTTCTTTAATATTCGATGAACAACAAGGATAAAATGATGTATCATGCAATATACTCTATTTTTTGTAATTTTTATATTCTAAGAAATTAAATATATATCGTATTAGAATAATATTCTATTAGTGTCAAGAAAAAAAGTAACGAAAAATTAACAATTCGTTATATTTTGAGTGAGATAACGATAACGAGTTACTTTTGCAAATCAATAACGAGTAACGGGGACGAGTTATTTTTTAGGAAAAAGAACGGTAACGAGTTATTTTTATGAGGTAACGTTGCCAATCCTGATTTTATATTACTTCGCACATCGTAATCCTAATATAAATTGAAAGATGGTAATCTCTTGTAATGATATACGAGTTTACTATTCTGACACTAAGTGCCTGCTTCTTCACTCTGAGTTCCGTAAATTCTCCTATTTTTCATAAGAGAGCAGCTCATCATATATCGTAGAAAGCTTGTTAAAAGTACGCCGCTTTATTAGCACGGATTATTAGTTGTACGACATCGCGGCAAGTCTGCTAGCCAGAAAAATAGTAGATAACACACGCTTGACTTGTGTATAGAAGAAAATTTCACTCGTATACGTTTTTCTTATATTGTGCTTTATTGTACTGCGAAATACTTACGTTTACCATTCCAGGTAAATTAACACAGTTTCCAGTCAAGTTCAACTTGTCGAAGGGCTGACTAAAGTATGACGAAAAGAAATCCTTTGAAATTCGATGAACCGAAAATGCATCGTGGATCGAATAATTAGAGTATGTAATGTGATACATGTACCTGGGCAGTATACGTTTCTGATCGCAGTACATATATATATAGAGAAATGTTATCTTTGGACATAAATTCAATCAGAACATCCGAAATTTGTGAATTTTTTCAATATGCAATTTTGTATTTAATGTATTTATTCTTTGTCTGACAGTTATCTATAGATTGCGTTTTAAAATTCAACTCTGTTAATCCGAGTATCATTTTATCCTTGTTGTTCACCGAATGTTGAACACACCGGAGTTGATAGAATCAAGTTTTAGACATAATCTGTATGCACCCATAATCTGTATTACACAGTTTGACCTAAAGATGCAGTTGTTACAGCAGTTCTGAGCTAAACATACATACATATATATATATATATATATGTATTATAATATATCAAGATAAAAAAGTATATTATATATTACATATATACACAAGATCTATTAAAAGTGTGGAAACTCCTTAAAATAAAAAAACACGTTTATAACGTATATTTCGATCGTTACAGAAATTTGGGCTACAACGACGTAGTCCACATTTTTTTCTTTAAAATAGAAATTCTATGCTTTAAAAAATGAAAAATTTTCTGCTCTAAAAAAAGACACAAAGATTATATAAGAAATTATATAATAAAACATTCAGCGCTGTTAAAGAAAGGAATTTCTTTCGGAACGCAGTCCAAAGTTAAGTTTTATCGATGAATTTTTTTGTTAATAACTTTTTCACGTACGACGGCTAAAAGTTCAAGGTCACTCGGGGTCATGACCTTGAAAACATGTGTCAAGGTTAAGGTCATTGGAGGATAGTCCCTTATACTGCATAATTAATATATCTCTTTATATCAAATATTTGTAGTTGAATGTATGTTTACATTGTAAGTGCATTTTTCTCGTAGTCTTCTGAAATTAATTAGCTATGATCGCAATACCTCCTGTTTAAATCAATTACCGTATAGCTATATAGCGAATGGCGTGTATTGCTTTCATGCGAATATCTCTATCAGGGATTCTAGGAATAGCCATCGCGACCAGGCATATTATTATCTTTGCCATTAAAACATCCCCTTTAGTTAGCATTTCACCTTGCAACGAGGACAAAGTATCAGTGGCACGGCGCGGAGAGCGTACCTCTTCGGTAGAGTCGATCTTACACGTCGTTGCTCGACAAAGTAAATCGACACCGTACACGTATTAATATCTAGGGTCCGTGGCTATCACCCTCTCTGTATTTCTTCCTATCCTGCTGCTTTTAACGCTCCAAGTCTTCGCTCGTTGTGAGAGAATCACGCTCTGAAATCCGTACACTGAGCTACGAATAAACGCTCGCACAAAATTAAATTACAACAAAAATACACGATTACATTGACACGCGAAATAGTGATTTCGTTAAAGCAGTTATATCGTTGCTACATGAGCTCTGTCTTTTGCAGCACAATTAGATAGCTATGATAATTGATTCTATTTGTATATGATGGCTTGTTACAAAAAACGATTTTAATTTTGACAACAAATTTTTATGACTAATTTTATGTTGATATTTTCTACTTTTTCTTTTTTCTATTTATCAAAATAAGGAACGAGGTAGCTGGAATATTTTTCAGGTTATAAAATGATTAGAAATTGAAAACCTTTCCAAATCAAATTGCTGGATTGCGATGTGTGAATAGGTTTTCTCTTTTAGAGAAAATAAAATCTTTATTATATACGTTCATTGTATATTTAATATAATGGAAACATTGTGAAATGGATAAGACTACGAGAAATATCGCGGAAACTTTGAACTTGCTATGCTAACTATCTGTTTTTTCAAAAATTAAGTTAATAATTTCCTTTCAATATTATTTTAATCTGAAATATTTTCCTTCGTGCTTTCTTCTCTTGATCTAAAATACTCTCCTCTCTCTCGCGGCTCAGTGGTCTTCGATAGTTTATTATATGATTTGTTATTTTTGTATCATAGATACATCGTTTCCTTCACTTTTGTTATTTTAAGCTGGATTTTGTTCCACGTGTTGTTTTTTTTTTTGATACTGTGAGCAAATTTGGACTCTTATTGTTAGTTAAATTACACAATTAGCTACGGGATGGAAAGCGAGATAGTATAGGGAGGATGCAAAGATAACAAGAGACATTGACGCCAATTTAAGAGGATCCTAAAGACGATTAGTCATATTGTAAATAGAATTTATACACAGACGATTTACGTGTTATTAACATATCAATATCTCACGCACATATACATCAATTTTCATATAACATAACAATAATATTTTAATTAGACATTTAAATTCAATTTAACTCCATGTTTTTTCTTCGTGCAAACTGTTATTTCGTAAGAAAAGATATACAGATCGTATATCTTTTATTATATATGAAGCAAATGTCACGGCTTTAAAGGGTCATGTTGAACTAAGAAATGGTAAAGATCTCAATTTCGAAATATTTTGTTCTTTTTGACAAACTCCACCTCACAGACACATATTAATGAGTATATCGTGGGCAACTTGAAAAGTTTTTTTAAGTCAGAAAGAAAACATTTTTTCGGAAAAGGTTCCAATTCTATTTTTCAATATAATTTCCTTTTATTTCGATATACATTTAGTCCAGCGGTGCTCCCATTTTTTCAAGCCGTCCAAAAAGTACGATGGCTGAAACTCTGCAAAATAGACATTCGTGGCGGCGATAACTTCATTCGACGCGAATTTCTTTCCTCCAAGCCAAATCTTCGGGTTTAGGAACAAAAAGTCGCACGGGGCCAAATCTGGAGAGTATAGTGGATGAGATAGCAATTCGTATCGTAATTCGATCAATTTTGCAGTGGGCAATTGCGGATGAATGGGACGGTGCGCTGTCGTGATGGAACGACACTTTTTTCTTGGCCAAATGAGGGCGTTTTTCCTTTCCAATTCTTTGTCGAAACGGCCCAGCAAGTCGCCGTAGTATTTTCCCGTAATTATTTTTCCCTTTTCTAAGTAGTCGATGTGGATGATGCCTTTAGAATCCCAAAAAATGGTGGTCATGACCTTCCCAGCCGATGGAACTGACTTGGCTTTCTTCAGGGTCGGTTCACCAGACGAAGTCCATTGCTTTGATCGTTGTTTTGTTTCGGGTGTGTAATGGAGAATCCATTTTTCGTCTACGGTCCACATATCGACGAAAAAATTCTCGTGGACTGCGCTTAAACAGATCCAAACGCTCCTTAGGCCGGAATCAGACTACACGTTGAAAATTGAGATTGAAGATTGAAAATTGAAATTTGACCACAATGAGGATAAAGAAATTTTAACTCCTATTATTTTGATTAGCCAAACTTCAATCTTTCAATCTTCAATCTTCAATGCGTAGTCTGCATTCCGGCCTTAGAGATGGTCATACGCATGCGTTTATTCTCTACGATGAGCAAACGCAGCACCCATCGCGACGTCAACTTTCTCGTGCCCAATATTTCATGCAGGATATGAAATATCCGTTCTTTTGAGATGCCTATACCATCTCTACTATCTCACGCAACTTGAAACGGCGATCACTCAATATCGAGCACTTTATTGACCATTTCTTCGTTGGTAGCAGTTTTCAGGCGTTCACTACGTGGTTCGTCATCGGTGTTGGTACGACCGCGTTTAAATTCGTTTACCCAAAAACTGATAGTTGGATAATGAAGGAGTACGTGCCATGAATCTCCTGCAACTCTGCTTGAATCTGCGTAGCTGTTTTCCCTTTCAAAAAAAAATAGTGTTTTATCACTGCACGAAACTCCTTTTCATCTATTGTTGAAAAAATATTTGACATGCTTTGTCTGACTGCTCGTAACTAAATGATTAATGGACGAAATTGTCTGAAAATTTGACAGCAACCATAAAAGATGTACTCTTTGGCTATTATGTCTTTTTTGCGATACGCGCGCTATCTCTGTATGACTTAAGAAAACTTTTCAAGTCGCCCACGTACTTCAATTTTGGAAAAGGATTTTTGGATCTATATAAAATAAGAAAAAGCAATATTGTTATATAAAAATGATATTTTTATTTAGGCTTAGTTGGTAATATAGACGACTTTAAGATCCTCTCTTAAATATATTTATTAATGGTTTTATAATTGTTTTTTATTAATTGGGATAATTTGTAGTGGTTGTAAATATACTATATAAATTTTATGACTAGCGAATTATATCACGTTATTCCATTTATCCAATAGTTTGAATTTGGTTCTGCTGTATTTTTCATATGATCAATATCATTGAGTAAGTCCTCTTTTTGCTGAACTTCTCTTATGTTCTTTGGACGTAGTTGTAAAGAGAGAAATTTATCGTCGTTCGTACCGTTCACTTTTTCTATGCTCCAGAAGTACCTATCTCTTTTTTTTTTTTTTCGCGAAGATCTCCACTTCACATGGCCGGATGGACCAGTCATGAACCTTCCTCTAAAGATCCATCGCAGGAATGGAGAGATTCGCCATTCGTGCGCACGCATATCAGATTTTCGCGAGATCGTTGTCGTCGTCGTCGTCATCGACGTCGGCGTCGGCGTCGGCGTCAGCCGCACCGCCGCCGCGCCGCACCGCGTTTACCGCGTCCCAGCCAACAGTTCTCTCAGGATCGTCAGTAGTCCAACGACATTCAGTCGAAGTGCATCTACTTTATCTATCCTATGACGCCTCGTCGTAGTCGGGTGGTAGTCTAGCCGTACTATCCTCCTCAGGACACGTTATTACATTACCACGCGCGTTTCCCAAAGATCCGAATTCAGAGCGAACGGACGTTCGCACGCCTTCAATGCCTTTGTCTCTTGTCTTGTTGTCACTCTTGCGCCGCTCTCCCTCTCCCTCTCTCTCCCTCTCTCTCTCTCTCTCTCTCGCAGCCTCTATTATTTTCTCACGTAGCTGTAACCGCGTGCAGAGTGAACTCGCGCTTCTCTCTTACGCTTTTTCTCTCCCCACTACTCCTCTTTATCCGCCATTCTTCATCGTCTAGTGTATATGTATCATACATTCGTAAGCTCTTTGTTATGTCAGTGAAAAAGATAGAGAATAAGAGAACCGTTCTTGTTACTATTTTGTAATATGCTCTTCTTCGCTTTATTTGCCCGTTCTTCTATCCATTACTCTCAATTCGAAATCCCCTTAGTAAAAGCCAAAGGATTATAAAACATCAGTTACGAATGGCCTTTCATTTAAGCCTCCCTCATGTATATGTGTGAATTATCAATTTAATCCTCGTGAATTGTCGGTTTAATCCTTTCGTCATTTTCTCACATCTGTTGCGATTTGTTTTTCGACATTGGTCACGTTTTTCCTTTTCGTATCGTAATGTAGAGAATGGCAGTTATAATACAAAATAGCTTCAAAAATTGAGCGAAAAAATTGAGAGAGAGAGAGAGAGAGAGAGATTTTATTTCCGAACAAATTATATCTTGGCGAAACGATATGACTTTATTTCTGATAAATTTATTACATAATACATATAATTATATTTATGATTGACATTAATTCATCTTTTTTCTTTTTGCATTTTTTAACTTTGATAATTAAAATTTTCAGAAAGATTTTTTCTCTAATAGTGTTTAATCTAAACATTTATAAAATAATTGTTAATTAAAGAATATCTGTATATTTTTTACAATATTCCCGTATGAGTATATTTTATTTGATAAGTGATTTAAGTTTTTGAATGAAAACTTCAATTTTATCTTAGATTAATCAATTTCCTTTTTATACTGTTTATCAGTTGATTTGTATTAATTCGACTTTCCATGGATTCCAATTAAAACTCACAGAAATTTATTTACAAATAAAAAAGAATATTTTTTTAAAGAATAGATAATTTTTATTTATAATAAACAAAAAAGTTTAATGCTACAGGTTGTAAAAATAGTGTAGAATAATTTATTTACTTCAACTTATATGTTACAATAAAAAAGATTTGGTTTACAAATTTTTTTAGCCGTCTATCTATCTTTTATAGTTACTTAACTAACTAAATTCTAACATCTAATTCACATAAATTATTGTATATAATATTTCTTTCATTATTTTTGCTGTAAAAATCATATCTTTTTTTCGATCAAATTACGTAACTTCTCTAGCAATCTAAAGGCATTAAATATACGATTCCAATCCCAAGTATCCTTCAATTTTTTTCACCACGTGAAGACGATTTTCTCTTACACTCTAATTTGATTCAGCTTACAGTACTTTATATTTTTATGTTAATGATTCGAAACTGTTTCGCAACCGTTTCAATAGGCGCTCGAAGACATCGGTCAACTAACTTTTTCACATAATAATATATGTACATATTTTTCTTTCTTTTTTATCGAGACGCGATGTAAATTAGTAACGTCTACTTGCAAATGCAATTTCCGCAGCCATAGAACACGATATGATTTGTTGTCACTTGACTATCTGACAATTGATTTTAAGTCGTACTCCTGTGAAAGTTATTTAAAACATTTCAATTTCTTAAACTCAGTTTTTTTTTTTAAATAATTAATTAAATTCCATTAAATAATTATTTCATAATATCAGAAAAGTGTATGTAAAATATATGTATAGGATATTATCTTTAGTGTTCGATTAATATTTGACTTGATTTTATATGATCTCGAAAATGAAGGCAAATATTAGAAGTTTTATTTTAAATTTAGATCTGTACGTGTAATTAAAAAGAAAATAACTATATTATACATAAAGAATGAATATGTGTAAGTGCATACATTATTACGCATAAATGTCAAATTTGTACGTGTAATTTGAAGTAATGATTACTGCATACATTACGTTATACATAATAACGTGACGAATTCTTTGGCTTTCATCGATTTATCGCGATTTTGAATTCTTCGTAATTCACATTGTGTAATCTATCGAATGGAGATGGACATATAATATGAGTAAATTAAAAGTACTCTCATCACACATCAGTTTAGAATTTTCTTGTTGTTGCCAATGGTTCCATTAATTTCGGATTTGAGTGATTCGAAAAAGAATGAACGATTTGTTTAGAGTAAAATTTTCTTATTGCATTAATATTGAATCCCTTTACCAGCAAATCTATCATCGGTGATTAGTTCATTTGCGACAGATGCGCACACTTTTCGAAAAGTTGTCAAAAGCGATACAAGTGCTACGGCTCAAGATTGATCAAAGTTGGAAAGTTTCGTGATGCAGTGATTCGAAGAGACAGTAGTGCGCTTTACCGCTCGTTTTACAAAGGAAATGGATAAGGACAGGCATGTACAAGGTAAGGGAGCTATTTTAGATGCTGTTCTTATTTCCGAACACTATCGATGATCTCTCACGAGCCATCCCATGTTATAAAGATAAGTCTTTCTTTTCTTCTCCATCTTCTTCTTTCTCTCTCCCTCTCTCTTTTTCTCTTTCTTTCTCTTTCTGTCTCGTGCTCCTTCCGTTCTCTGAAATTTAAATTCAAGATAAATATTTCTTTGTTGAAGAAAATATTCTGTTTTGACTGATTCTTCTGGTCATTATATTCCTGCAGTGATGGCTTAATAAACGAGAAAATTATCTTTTTATTAATAATAATATCGCGTTTATACAGTATTATCTATTTATTCTCAATCTTTAAACGTTTCTTTTTATGTCTTCTTCAGAAATTGAAAATATATAAACTTATCATCAAATTAATAAGATATATACTTTAAACGAAATTTGAAAAATCGAAAAATTTTTGATGACTTCCCATGTAGTGTATCTTGGAACTTTTTTGAGAATACTGAGTAGTTTTGATTAGAGTTCTGGATAGTTCTCGGTTAATTCTGTCGAAAAGTATCAGGGCTCAAAACGATTGGATGGCTACATAAGGTGATATGTGCTTTTGCAATTGATTTTTCAAATTTCGTTTAAAGTGCACAGAACTATTCGATCTCGACTTTCGATAAAAAGTTAGCATCTCACTTTTAAAAAATTATTTAAAAAATTGTTATTAAGGGAATCTTGCGTTAAAAAGTACAAAGAACTCTTCATCTCGTTAAATATTTAATATTATACAATAGTTTGATTAGAGTTCTTGCTTTCTTTTAACGAGATGAAGAGTTCTTTGTACTTTTTAACGCAAGATTCGCTTAATAACAATTTTTTAATAATTTTTTAAAAGTGAGGTGCTAACTTTTTATCGAAATTCGAGATTGAATAG